CAGTAAGATTTTTATTTGAAATGCTTGTTTATCTGGAATTTTTTCTTTACCCAAGTAAATAAAAATTATCTGGATACATTTCATACAGTTCCAAATAGTGATGAAGTTTCTCATGGAATTGCTTCAAATGCCCAAAAGAAGGCAGAAGGTTCATTAACTGCAGGGTCAAGTGGACCAAGTCAACTGTTTGCTGAGAAACTTATTCCCGTACTAGTGGATCTTTGCCTACGAGCTCCAGCTGCAGAGAAGTACAGTGTCTTACCTGACATTATTCAAGTTTTAGGAAGGTAAGAATTTATTAGAAGTGCTTTGATCTCTGCACACAAATTGCAATTAGAACCCCGATATCTTGGAAAATATCATGTTGGTGGGGTTGTTTTATTTTATTTTTTTAATGTAACAAATGTGATAAGAGTAAAGAGACAGGATCAAGAAATCAAGGAGATTATGATATTAAAAAGTAAAACCAAAGGAAAGAAAAACAAGGGAATTCAAAGAATATCCTTCCAACAAGAATAAATTCTTGCCCACAGCTACTTAGAGCTAATTGTTCCAATTCTACTGGATGCCCTTCTTCTAAGAGATGGTCCCTATTTATACTCTATTACCATATGTAAAATAAGGTAGGAGCATCAATTACTGATTACATAATTATTCAATCCCTAATTATACTCTCCATAAAATAAGCAAGGATTTACATAATCAGTCAATCCCTTATTCTATGTTTCCTTGAATTCTATCACTAGAATGATTTGATAACTTTCCTTTCCTGCCTGATTTGTATCAAAATGTCAGCATATAATAGAGTTGAAAATTTAAATTGTATTTAAACGTTGTAAAGGTATGCTCTTCAATCTTCAGGGAGTTCTAATTGTTTTATTAAGGCCTTCTCTCCCAGACATTGGGAAGAATAATCTCATGTTAAGAGAAAATGTCAACATGCTTCTTTTTGCTTATGACAGAATCATTGTAAGTTTCTATGCAATGTGGTTGGAATATGTGATATTATATTAGCTTAAGTTGTGCTGTTTCATTGCTAATGTGGTATCTTTTTTCTAGTACTTAGGACTGATACATTGATTCCAACTTTATTTGATAGATGTATGACTACAAGAAGAGACAATCCTGATGGCACACTTTGGAGAGTAGCAGTTGAAAGTTTCAACAAACTTGTGATTGATGATCTTTGCAAGCAGATTGAAAAGTCAGGAACAGATGTTGCTAATGTCAGATCTGCAAAAATACGTGCCTGGAAAGGAGTTGCTGATATGTATGAAATATTTCTTGTGGGCTATTGTGGCCGTGCCCTCCCTCCCACTGCACTTTCAGAATCGGCACTAAAAGCTGATGAGTCTCTTGAAATGAATATATTGGATATCCTCGGAGACAAGATTCTCAACTCCCAGATTGATGCACCTCTTAATGTAATCATCAGACCTGAAATTTATTACTTAATTACGCTAAGCATAACATTCATTAAAGCTTGAATACTGCACCTCATAGATAGACTGGGAAATTTTAATTTTTCCTTCAAACTAAACTTTGATTGACTTATCTTAGGAACCATATTTTTAAGTATATATACAGAGATAATTAATCGGATATGCTCGACATTGGCCTGCCCACTTTCTCTCTCTGTTAATAGGCCATCCCATCCTGATATAAACATGCTTAATTGTGTTTTTCCTGACTATTGCCAAGTTGCCTAATGGGTCTTCTACATTAATGTTTATTATGTCTTATATGAACAAAAATCTATAGGAATAAAAGCTTTCAAGCATGATTTTATTGTCTCTCTCTCTTGCTAGTTGCAATTCTCTGATGCAATTTTAATTTGTTTACGCAGATAATGCAGCGGCTAATTTCAACCATTGATAGATGTGCTTCCCGTACATGTTCTTTGCCTCTTAAGACTGTTGAACTTATGCCTCCACATTGCAGCAGGTTTTCCTTGACCTGCTTGCAGAAGTTGTTTTTCTTGAGCAGGTATATATAATCCTGCATTTGATTAAAGATTCTATGCCAATTTGAGTGATTGCTAATTTGAGAATCCCTTATTTTCAGCCACAGAACAAGTGACCAAAATTTGACTACATCCGAAGTTAGCAAAATCTCAATTGCAACGCTGATGACCAGATGTGAATGCATACTAGATAAGTTTTTGAAGGATGAGACCGAACTAGGTAAATCATTTATTTATGCCGGGTCTTAATTTTGTCTATTTTCTTATGGCTTCATGTTTTCTTAAACCTTGAAACCTTAATTTCAGGTGATTGTCCGCTGCCTGCAGCAAGAGTAGAAGAAGTCCTCTTTGTCCTCAAAGAGTTAGCTCGCCTTGTAATTCATTCAGATACTGCATCAGTTCTTCCTATCCGCCCACAATTGAAGAATGGCCTTGTAGAAGAGAATCATGCGAACAAATTGCATTTGTTCGTTCTTTTCCCATCCTTTTGTGAGCTCGTCGTATCAAGGTATGTAGATTAATTAACAATTGAAAATATGGTTTTCAGTATGCTGGGAGTAACAGTAAGTGAAATAATATTGTTGTTACTAGTTCGCATACATCTTTCTATTCTTCTGTTACCCAATATGCCTGTTTAGTATAGTAAAGCATGTGTGTCATTGAGTTATGATTATGGTCTATGGTTATGGATTGTGAATAATTCATAATCTAGTAAGAGGTACTTTTGGATTATTGACTTAAATGAGCTAACACAAAGCTGTGATTTTTATTCGTTTTATCACACCTGAGTGAAATTTCTAAACATACACCCTGTCCAATGTGGGTCACTATGGCCCTGTTTGCTAACATAGTTAGCTTATCAGCCAATTTTAACTTATGTGACCACTATTAGCTGTTTGACTTGGTTAAACAGTCAATATAAATGTTTGATTAATTACCTTTTTGTAACAGCTTATTGTTCAAAAACACTAAAATTCAAAAAGCTTAACTTTTTTAGAAAGTCATTAGTAACTATCGGCTAACAACTAATTTACCAAACATCTTTTTACAATCATCTAATGTTATCAACTATTCAAACCCACTAACTCAATCAGCTAACATACAGCTTTCCATGCATTCACCGCTGCCAATCTACATGCATAAGTATCTATATATTTTGGTTCCTAGTGAGTAGTCATGCATTCAGAGAACTGGTAAATCGTATTTTAGGTGTTAGATCATTTTTGCGTTTTAGAAAGGGATGTTTTCTTATCTTGTTGACCTATCTATCTATCTCTGGGCAGGGAAATCAGGGTGAGAGAACTGGTGCAAGTATTACAGCAACTAATCGCTTCAGAGTTGGGTCTGCAGAAGCTTTCTTTAGCTACTAGTTGATTCTTCTCGTAGAGAGTTCGTGGTCAGTAATTTTGTTTTGTTTTATTTTATTTTTTATACGGTTTTATCTGTGAGAAAAATTTTATTTTTATTTTTTTATTCTGAATTTCTGTGTATAAGGAAATAGAAATAGCAAAAATGTGACATGGTTTCCTGTCAAAATGGTAGTCTAGATGAAACAATTTTACATAATTTATGTAATTGTATTGAAATGTTTTTTTTAACCTATATGGCTATATTGCTCATTACAATTTTACATAATTTATGTAATTGTATTGAAATGTTTTTTTTTAACCTATATGGCTATATTGCTCATTTTTTTGTTATAAAATTTTCTGTGTTTATTGTTATCTACAAAAATCACTACTAATTCACTAGTGCCATTATTGTATTTAGTTATAAATATTATGTAATGATTCAAATTATTGATTATTGATTACCCTTATCGCATTAAAAATCACTCTATATTTAAATCACTTTATGCGTATTTAAATATTTTCTTTTGGAACAAAAATATTTTGCTTTCCAAGGAGGTTGTTTGACAATATTTGGTTGTTACAAAGATTATGAAAGACCCATTCGTGTACGAACACCAATAGATCAACTAATGCAGTAAAAACCCGTGTAATGAAACACAGTGTAAATTAAACAATATCGTTGTAGTTTGAATGCAATCCTTATATCATGTACCAGGGTGCATAATGTTAAAAATTTTCCTGTACCAAATGTACAGAATTGTATAAGTAGAATACGCATAAATTTTTAACATAATATAATATAATACATAATACATACAAATTCTTAACATAATACACATAAATTCTTACACATAATACACATGAACTCTTAACATAATACACATAAATACAAAAAGAATAAAACTGTAACAGGATTGGACGGAAGGAACAGTGTCCGTTGCGTCAACTCCCCCAACTTATTGAAACAACGTCGTTTTGGGATAGGGCGCACAATGCATTGTGCGCGCCTTGGTGCACGATATAATTTGCCGTTTGAATGTGTTTGGGTCCCATTTGTTCTCCTGGCACTATTAATTTGTGTTACCTAATAGACTTTTCCTTTTCCAAAAAAATAACAGTAGCGTCTCACCGGGAGACCTAATGGCACGGCAATTTATATTATAGACCAGGGTCCACATATTATTATGGACCCTGAATCAAAACGAAGAGGTATAGAATTTATAATCGTAAGATATAGAATTTCATAACACAATATATAAAAAGTTACACGCATGTTATATATTTATTTATTTTTCAAATCTGATTTAGATACATAATTTGTGTTTATAAATACAGAATTTTACAAAAGAAAAAAAATTACTAATTTGTTTCAGGTACAGAATTTTATAATACAAAGACACAAAAACTCACAACATAAGATACATACACATACACTAGGGTCAACACTGCACCGTGAACCTTAATTCGTGATATGAGGATTTTAATGGCACAATATGCCTCTCCGATATGACTGTACTAAATTGTAGTATATGTTCATACATACTTTCTCAACCTGTTAAAACACAAAGAGTCAACACCACCTCCAAAACTCGATCTCATGACCTCCCATATAGAAGAGTCACTACATGACAATGAAATTTGAACACCCCCAACAAGATATATTTTTATGTTAAAGCCAAATAAAGTTGTTAAAGCGAAATAAATAGCATTCACCAACTCAAAATATATGGATTACAAATAAACTACAACCTAAAATAAACAAAAATTACACGAAACATATACTACACATAAATTAAAAGATCCCTCGACTACATTCCCCAGCTCTTCTTAATAGTTTCACATGCATAGCGATGCGTTTGGAGCTGCTCTTCTGTCATTGTCGAAGTGTCCTTCATAAGGATTTGATATTCATTGACAAAAGTATCTCTTGCCTTCAATGAATTATACTCCTCAAGCTTGTCTAGTTGTTTTTGCATTGTGTTTGAGATTTGATCAACATTTATAATCGGGGCTTTTCTTTTCCTCCCCATGTCCTTTTGCTCAACCGGACGAGGGTGAACTTCGCCTTCATCCACATCAACAGTGTCCTCAGCACTGGAAGAAGACGTGTGTTGTCCTTGCTCGGTAGTCTTCTTCTTCTTTGACTTGCGGCCATTTGTTGCCCACATTGGGAAATATCTGACAATATTCCACAAGTGTAAGTAGGGAAAGTGGATGCCCTTGTGTGTTGCCTTGTATTCTTCATGAGTTTGCAATAGTATGTCCTCGTCACTGCAACCATCTGGGCGCGCACTAAGTAATTCATTATAGCTTGTATTGAAAGCAGTAATCTTCATACGAGCTTGATTCCAGTGAGTTTTTAGTTTCGCCCGATCTCTCTTCACTGTACCAGTAGGACGATACTCATTGTAGTACTTCTCAATAAGTTGCCAAAGGGTAGCATTCCCATGTGAATTTTTTAGCTTCTTTCGATCCTCGCTAAATTTGATCCATGCTTTTGCAAGAATCACGTCTTCCTCTATAGACCAAGTTGCTCGTCCACTATGCTCATCACCAGTTCCAGAACATGGTTGTGGTAAAGTTCCGAGCCTAACTTGTTTCAAGAACAACGGTGACTGAGAACTTTGAATAGGAGACGGTGTTTTGGTGCCCAAACCTTCAATATTACCACTTCTTGATTCATTTGAAGGAATGCCCGATGGATCAACCCCCTAGGAAAAAAATATATATATATATATGAAAAGAGATAAGATCATGCTTCAAACAAACAAACAAACAAACAAAAAACGAGAGGGAATAGGGAACTGGAAGCGTAGTTTTATTGAGAAAATATTTCAACGTGAGCCAATTTACTTCTATCACACCAAGCACTAAGGTAGCCACTTCCAAATACTGCTCTTAAATCTTAAATAAGATATTTTTCCTTTTTTGATTTATTCCACAGACTGATTTAATGACTTGAGATGTTTATCTCTTTTTTTTTTAATCTATGGGTTTTGAACAGACAAACATTTATCCTTCTTTAATGAGTTCTAAAATTGGAACAAAAATCATTCTAACTTTACTACTAATCTTTTATTTCAGAAAAATCCCAAGTGAATCTATTTTAAAAGGGAAAAATTTTAAGATTATAAAAAAAGGTAAATTCACATCAGTTTACACACCATACTGCCTACATTAGCTCCAGGATTCATATTCTACTCATGAACAAACAACTTAAGCTGAGACAGAGATTAATCTCAAACTAAACAGAGAAACATAATTGTGCAATTTAATTACATATACACCACAGCAAATTCTTCAGCAGAAGTGCCAGAACAGGCTGTCCTGGGAACAGCTTGCTCTGATTTGGCAGCATTAACCAAAATTTATAATGAGGTTCACGCACTTTAATTCTCCATATCAGTAGAAAAGTAAGACATTCAGAAATAAAGTTTTTCAGATTCAGAAATTATAACTAAGTCAAGAACTGCAAGAAGGTGCAGTGCTGAGGCTGGTGAATTTAATGTAGATGCATAATTGATGTTTTGACTCACTAATGTTGATCTATTACGGTGACATTTCAAACTGATGTGGCTTTGAAAAATTTCTTCAAACCCCGTGAAACAAGTGACTTCACCATTAATTTCAATCTATGTTTATGTCTTTAGACTTTAAATAACTCAAGTAGACCACAAGCTGTGCCAAAATCATCTTTACTCCTAACCTTTGGGAGAGTACCATTAATGAGCTTACCAACGCAGTCCAGAATCTAGTACTCCTTATTAAGAATTCTATTTACAATCCTAGTTCAACTTAGATATAGGAGATTTCATGCTTACTATTTATTATCATAGTTCAACTTAGATATAGGAGATTTCAGGCTTACTATTTATATCATAGTTCAACTTTTTCATATTATATTATGCTATGTTCATATTGAGATGAATTATTACTTTACTATTCTAGTTTAACTTAGATGGAGATTTGAGATGGTGGGATGACTACTATTTTACTTATTACTATCCTAGTCTAACTTATTTCATATTATGGGAGTAAATAACCGATTTGGTCCCTCAACTATTAGGATTTCACCACTTTGGTCATCGACTTCCAAACTTGCTCAATTTCATCCCCAACTATGCAATTGTTAACCAAAATGGTCATAATCAGGACTATTTTGGCTTGGACAAAGGATTATTTTAAGTAAAAATTGTATAATTGGGGATGAAATTGAGCAAGTTCGGAAGTGGAGGACCAAAGTAGTGAAATCCTAATAGCCGAATGACTAAATCGGGTATTAACTCCATATTACGGTATGTTCAAATAGAAGACAATAAGATGGCTTAGAATTTAAATATCTTAGTTTTAACTTGTTCAATTATGCAATAAGCATATATGAGAGTTGCTAAAAAAGCCTAAACTTATATGCTAAGTTTCAATACCAATGCCTTTATTTTATCATCACCTACATGTTTTACAACCCATGAAAACATTAAGAGGCAAATTGTTGGGCAGATTATTTTATTTAATTTACAATTTCAATAACACTAAACAATACCTTTCAATGACAATACTAAAATGGTGAATGAATAGGAATGTAGAGGTAGAAACAAAATACCATTTTCGAAATGCAATTGGCAGGACCAGTGAGTTCCTTACACTCCATGCGCTGGCAATCAGAATAAAGTGTAAACAGTCAAGAAACAAATAGAATTAATCAAAGCCAATAAGTCTAACAAATTTCTGGAACGAATAAAATATTCTGTGCGATCAAGGTTTTTCGTCGTAGCAGCGTTTAATTGAAGAAAAATGAGAAATACTCAATGCAGATCTCAAAATCACCTATGAAACCGAATTGGAGATGAAAATTGAAGTACCGAACAAGTAGCTATATATCAAAATTTATGAAATTTAATTGATAAAAAGTTGTTAATTAATCCATTACAAAAGAAGAATAAAACCAAAACTAGAGATAATTACGATCTGCAGAGGAGTGATGCCGACGGCGGCGCAACGGAGAGATGAGATACCTACTTAAACGGCGGCGCAACGGAGAGATGAGATACCTACTTCAACGGCGGCGCAACGGAGAGGCGAGAGAGCTACTTTCACGTCAAGGAATATCCGCATTGGAGATTGGAGATTAAAGATTGAAGATTGAAGATTGAAGATTGAAGTGGATATACACTACACTCCGACTGTGCGTCTGTGCGGGGAGTGTGCGCGGTGAAAAAATTGCAGAGCGTGAGAAGTACGCTGCACCGTTGCGGCCAGACTGTGGCCCACCGCCTTTAAAAAGAGGGAGCGATCATTTATACCGTCGACCATAAAAACCACGGCCGTTGTGAATTATAATGATATTTTAGTTGTGCAAGTACCGTGCGCATAATGAAATTGAATAGCATGTATCATATATTAAGTGTGAATTGTCAAATAAAATTATAATTGAATAAAAATAATACTTTAGTGGTGTTGTAATAAAATTATATTGTACATAATGGAATTGTCGTTCACCATTATTAAAGAAAAAAAAAAATAACATCATTTTTTTTTTACTTTATTTAAATTTAATAAAGGGTGAATCAACAATTTGATCCCTCACTTATTCGCAACTTGTCAATGTTGTCCCTGAATCACGTATTCATCGATTTAGTCCCCGAATATAATTGTTTTTCGTCAAATCAGTCCCTTCCGTCAAGTCTCAGGCGAAAGCTCCGATTTGTCCTAGGCATTTTGATCTTTTCACGCTTTTTTCTTCATTAACTCTGACCAATGTTGTTCAATGGCCCAATTACATGTTTTTTTTAAATTCAATGGCCTAATTACATTTTCATGTATTTGACCCGTATTTCTTACTTATTTCACCTTTTTCCTAAAATAAAAGAAGCAGAAATTTGGGTGCAAAAGGCAAAATCTCTTGCCCCTAGAGCCTCACACTCGGCTTCATAAGAATTGTGGAAGAGTTAAATCACGATGACTCAACAACTCCTTAAGTGCCATGACCAATGCATAATGACTGGTGCCCACAAGAAACTACTCTCACAAGAGGTTGAAACTTTCACACTACGGTTATTAGGATTCAATCATGTATCCTTAGGTGCGTAATATTCTACCGAGAACCAAATAACCAATAACTTGCAAAATAATTTGTCATCTCAATTGACACGCAATTTCAATATAAACACAGTCACAATTGCATGTGCCAAGAAGGATAGTGCAACTATTTAGCAACTCAACTATTGATTCAACACTCAAAAGTGGGAACTTCATCAACAAAAGGAGAAGCTAATGCCCTATATGCTGTCCTGCGAAACAGACTTCTATAAGGATCTTCCTCTCTCTTCTTAAGCAAATAGGCCATACTGTTCTCAACTTCAGACTTTACTTCTAAGTACAGCTTATGCGCTTCCTCCCTGTCCTTCAACATCCCCCGCTTTCCCTTCGTCGAAATAGGCTTTCCAAACAAGTAGTACAAGCGGCCAGGGACCTTCGGCAACATGCCCGGGATGTATAATGTTTGGTTGGCAACCTCCCCGGCCATATTAGTCCTACAATGATATGCTAGTGTTGAGCTATAACATATAGAATATAAATGCGTAGTTATATATTTGTTTAAACTTTTAGTTGAAACAGAACACATCCCGTTTTGCTCAGCACATTCAGGAAAGCACAATTACCTTAGCCTTGTACCCATCTTCTCGTCGAGTTCACTACTCCTCCTAATCGCATCACTTACAATAGGGATTTTCGTCAAGTCATCATAGTCGAGAATTAACTGCAGATCAAAAAACATGAAAGCGCCAACATATCCGGAGGGTTTAGTTGCAGTGTACACTTTGGAGCAAATACAAATTCAATCATGGGCACACCAAAACACATAATAAGAAGACTCTATTTTAAGGCACCTGGAAACCAAGAAAAAGTGACCTAAAAGAAAAAGAAATAGTTTCTTGCATATATCCAATGTAAATGTTGAATATGTCTGATATGAGGAATAAGAGTGGAGCGGATTGGTCAGACCCATAGTACAGAGGTATTAATTAATAAAGAATGGTTTCACCCCTTAGATGTATGCACATTGCCGAACTATATAAATCTTGCCTTCTTTACTTTCTGTCATTGTTATTGTTTCTTGTTCTTGTTAATCTCAATAGTAAAGAAACACGTAGAAGTGTCAGTAACATACTTGTGCTAAGTCATCTTCTCCAACAGCTCCAAACGGCACAATTGTAGCCCCGAATTTAGCAGCCATCCTTACAAATTCAGGTTGGTCTGGCCACATTACCTTGTACTCTTCTCCCTGCAGCAACACAGTCAAAGAACGGTTCTGAAAGTACATTAAAGTATGAATCTCAAATGCACCGTTCAAATATACTTCTGCCCTCGGAGTAATTCTTTATCTACAAAGAGAAGTATTAGAGAACAGAGAAAAAGATCGTAGCCAAGAATGTGCACCTTACGATGCAAGGCCTCCCGAGCACCACCAGGATAGAGGAGCACATGAGACTTAGTTGCAAGCAGCTTAAAGAGGTTACTGGCTGAGACAGGCAATGCCCCGTATAGTCGTGCCATATCAACGATAAATGATGGAATATAACTCCCATTCTCATCAGCTAACTGTGTGAACCATGTTGGGTGTGCTACTCCACGAAGCACAACTTTTTTAGCCTTTAAAAATTCTTCAACTAGCGGGATCAATTCTAGCCCCATTAGCATGTGATAACCAACTAACAACACGGGACCTTCATTAGGAACCCCCGCTAGACCTCTTACTATAGTCCCATTTTCCATCGTGGATAACATTACCGGATCAGTAGCATAGCGATAAAATCTGCAATTTGTTTACCGAGTTACTAGCATCAAGGCATTATATGCATTATGCAACCACAATGGAACTAAATCATAGCACAAAAGAGAAGGGTTAGCAAGCGAACAAGACAGAGATTCCTTAATTTATCTTTTTAAATGACATTATCGTCATAATTGATTACCTATTGTTCTCTAATGCTTTCTTGAACTCTGACATACTAGGTGGCAAGTAATCCAAGACATAGTCATGCCTCCTTGAATGGCGATATGTGCTTGTACCTTTGATGATGCTTAATAGATTGAAACCGTTTTCCAGCAAAATCCTATGTCCTTTATCGTTAAAGTATCGTACTTTGCAGTTTCTTAATGACCTTTCAAGCCTTTTAGCTTCATCTTCACTTGGAAGTACATTGTCCTTTCCACTGTAATGCAATTTTTTCATCAGTATACTAAAACAATACGAGAAAAAGGCAGTAAAGAAACAATCAACCTCCAAATAATGTATAGCATAGAGAGATTACTAACAAATGAGTGCAGGTTTATAATAAATGAAGATAGCGAGATTACTGATAGAAATGTCAAAATGAGTACAGGTTTATAAGAAATCAAGATAGAGTCTATACCTAGCAAGCACAAGTACTTCTGCTGTAACAGCATGGAGACGGGAATTGGCATATTCAGATGCAGATTTAAGTAGCTTCAATTTCCACGCAAGATTTTCTTTTGGTTTAATATCAGTAAACTCCTGATAAAGAGGCAAACACCATATCATTTACTTGTGTATCATCTTAAAAACTTGAGCATCTATCAAAGTAAATGCAAGCTTTAGTTTCATGCTTTAAACCCCCAATTTTCCATTAAGATCCACTTTCATCGAAATCTCCTAAAGAAAGCCGTGCACAAATGAGTCACTAGTGAAAATTAGTTTTCTAGCCCAAACATTACTTTTGTGACAAGAGAATACTCACATTAAATTTGGACAGTAAAGCTGCAAGATCATCAGAGATCTTGATGTTAACCATTGGCATCATGGTTAGGTCACCTGACAAATTGAAACAAATGGCTTAAAAGGGGAAAGGAAATACAATGACTATTAGGAAGCCATGAAAATCTCTCCTTTACCTTTTCTTGGTGGAATTGAACGCTAAAAGAAATTTACTATTGTTAGTACTTAGAGCAGTAAAGAAAACAGGCTAAGATCAACTAATTGGAAGTTGCGATTTTCAAAACCATAACAAGAACATACCCAAATAGTATAGAAGATGAGGGAATGCAACACGTTTGTCTGGCAAAGCTTCCAGGAAAGGAAAAAACGGTTGCAGTTGTGACCTGCCGAATGAAGTTGCTAGAAGTAATACCGATAAACATCAGAACATAATATGAATAAATAGTCAGCAGAACCATCGAGTACTCCAAATGAAACGGCACTGCTAACCTGGATTGGTTAATATCACGACAAGATCAATTGTAGGATTACGAGCAGCAACAGCAAGCGCTAAGCATCCTCCAAATGAATCTCCCACCAGATATATTGGCTTATCTGGAGACGATTCATGCTTCATCCTGATAGTCTGTTCAACGAGTTTCACCAGTCCTATAAGATTTACAAGAAAAGAAAAAAGACGGTTACAGTTTACGAATTCTTGTAAAATATATCTCCCTCGATTGGAGAATACATTTTCAAAGTGGTATAGGTGCAGGTATTCATGATAGTCTTGGACTCTTGGGATGATCTCAGCTATATTTAGAAAGGACTACATAACTAGTAATGGAAGTAAGAAAAAAATAAATTATTACCTATAAATGGTGTTCTATCATCTACAGGAATATTTAAGCTCCAGATTTCAAACACTCTGCAAGGAGGAGTTTACATCCATAAATAACACCAAAGGAAAAGAAGCAATGGGTTAAGGGGTAAAAATCAGCACCAAGGATTTTTTGCATCATAAGAAATAAAATTTAAAAAAAAAAAGAATTATAAACACCAAAACTTATATAATAACATGGAAAATTGCATTTTTGGTCCTCTAATTATACCTGATTACCCGTAGTACAGACTTAGTCCATGAATTATATGCATGATCATCTTTAACGCCTAAGTTATGCGCGAAGTGACGATTTAAATCGCCCAGGGACTATTTTTGCCACCCTCACTTAATAAAGTGGCGGATTTGGTACTTTAGGGACTAAAATCACCACTTTGCGCATAACGGGGATGGTCACGCATATAACTTATGGATTAAGTCTGTACTAATATACAACTGGAGGACCAAAACCAAAAATGCAAATTTTCCCTAATAATTTGATAAAAATGTGTGAAACTTACTTCCCAAGTGCCTTATGGTGCAGAATAAGACCTAAACCACTTCCACCCACTCCTGCAAGCACAATGAAACTTTAGCAGAGAATTTACAGAAGAAAGCTGCATTATTGGTTCTATTCATCTGATAAGAAAAGTAAGCAGATAGACCATAGAGCAAGAATTACCAGGCAAGAAAAGAAGAGCAGGTGAGTGTTTCAAAGGAGGGCCACAAGACAGGGGAGTGAACCACCGTGGCGGTCCACCATCAGGCCTAGTAATCTCCTGGGCTAATTCTAGATAATCCTTTGCAGTTTGAGTCCCATACCCATCATCCCATAAAGCTTCCAACTTTTCTTCCCCAACACTTGTACCCAAATCCCCATTTCCCAAAGGGCTATTTATTCTCTCCTTCTCCCAAGCAGAAGAAAGACCATTGGGTCTAATAGAATCGTGGCGAGCTAAACACCGAGTTGTAGCACCACATTTCAGCTTATGCTCTGAATTCAACCAAAAATAAGACGATATTTTAAAACTCTGCATAATCAAAGCCATGGGCTCTCTCTAATCAATGCTTTGCAGACTTAAATATCAAGAAAATAATCTCAAAAGAGGCTCTCGACGAGACCCTTTTTTCGAGATGAGCGAGCAACTAAATGAATAAGATCAACTGCCGAAAACATAGAATGCATGTATATGTGCAATCTTACTATGAATAGCCAGGAGTCCAGGACAACGATGCCGTGATGTGAGAAGTCAGGGGTCACAGAAACTCATTCAACAAAAGCAATTTGAAAAAATAAAATGTTTTAAGAATTTTTAGCGTAAAAGCCACCAAGAACCAATTCTTCCAGCCACAGTAGCTTTTGGCACCATGCTTGTTTGTCAGCGCATTCGCTGAGCTACCTTAGGAATAGTGGTCTCAATTCACACCACTCAAAATACGAAAAATAATAAAGGTCAAATAGTCTATAGAATTGAACACGATAATATAATTAAATTATTAAACTTAAAAAGTTTGAATTCTTAAACTAACATATTTTATACAATTAGTCTAGTTTATAAGTTTTTTAGATTTCTAACGTGTTATCCCAATTTAAAATATTTTTTAACAATAATTTTATTAGAATAATTATTTAAAATTTAAAAATATATATATTAAAAAAAAAAAAAACAAACAGAACCTTCCGTTATCTTCGTCTCCATAGCGGGAGACGGTTCTTTTAAAAAAAAAAAAAATTTAAATACTTATTTTTTACAATTTAATTTTAAAAAGATATTTTAAATTGGGAGTGACTTGTTAGAAACTTGAAAAAATTTACAAACTAACTAATTGGCATGAAATATGTTAGTTTAGAGATTCAATTGTAGGTTTTTTATGTTCAGTCATCTTATTGTATTATTGTGTGCAGTTTAATGACTTATTTAATCCTTGTTTCTAAGAAGAATATTGTGTAAAAAAATATCGAAACAAGTGGTCAACCAACAAAGAGTACATACTAACTAACAAGAAAGATCATCTGATTGTGTCCCAGTGATATATAAGTTGACAATTTTTCAATTTACACAAAAAAAAAAAAAAAAAAAAAAAATCATGGTGGGAGCTTGAAGCAACAAATTGGAATAAGATATATGGGTATTTTACTATTTTGTAAATAGCTATTAAATACAATTAGTTGATTCTTTGAGCAAATTTGATTAGTTAATAGTTAGGTGATTGTATACAAGTGTTTGGTAAATTAGCTGATTACATACGAAATGACTTTAAAAAAAAAATTGATCGAAAAAGTTATTTTGAGCAGTGTTGGAATTTTAACATTTCGGAGTAATAAGTTATTACAAAAAGTTAATTAATCAAACATTCATATTGATTGTTTAATTTAATCAAGTCAAATTGTTAATAATGGTCATATAAGATAAAATTAACTGATAAATTAATTATGTTATCAAACAGGGCAATATTTTGCATTATTAATATTAAAAAAAAGTGTCTATATATATATATATATATATATATATATATATATATGGATACGGAATTAAAATTAGAAAAGAACCAGAGGTAATTATAATTTCATTCCTTAATTGCAGTATCAATTTCATATTTAATTTTTAATTATCAATATTACTATATTATTTTTTAAATCTAATTTGAAATTAGCAGTAAGCAAATTACTAATGCAATTATAATGTTGGAAATTTAGGTGTGGCAAATTATTTGTTATATACTGTGTGTATCATATTAAATATTTTTTTTTTTTTAATTCTAGCTAGCTAAACTATCGTCAAATGACAAATCAATAAACTCTAACATAGCAAAGCACATTATCTTGGTTATTTCTAAGCTTGTGCCTTGTCGAGATGCTTGCAAGCTTTTATATATATATATATATATATATATATATATATATATATATATAGCTGAGTAGTTTGTTAGTCGCTCGGTCAAAGCTCAGCTCGTTTTATATTTAATAATTTTGAGGAGTTAATTATATATCTTTTTAGTTTTTTGAGTTCAATTATATTGTTTGGATTAGAAGGGCTTATTTGATTTTTGTACACAAAAAAAGGGGGCTTAATTATTTGATTTTTATTCCAAATAAATAAAAAATAGGAGAGATAACTTCATTTACACACCCTCAATAATGTTTAATAATTAATTAAGAGAAAATTATCGATTTGGTCTCTCGACTATGAGAATTTCACTAATTTAGTCCTTGATTATCAAAATTACTTGATTTGATCATCGACTATGACATTTTTACCTGTATTAAGTGTTATTTGTAAGTCAAACCTAAAGGGCAATTTTAAGATTTTAAAAAAGTATCTTCCTTCTTCTTCCATAAATCTAAGTCATTTGTTTTATATAGATAGGTTATTTGTTTTCGATAGCCGTCACAGCTTCAATATGCAACCAAAGTGCCGTGAATCATCTTCATCCAGGTATAATAATTGAATGATGTTCAAACATTTGCTGCTTCGTGCCAACATCATTTTCATCCAGCTATAAGCATCTCTATTTTCGAACATCATTCGATTCTTATAGCTGGATGAAGATGATTCACTGCACTTTGGTTGCATATTGAAGTTGTGACCGCTATCGAAAACAAATAACTTATCTATACAAAACAAACGACTTAGATTTAGGGAATAAGAAGGAAGATACATTTTTTTTAATCCCAAAATTACCTTTTAGGTTTGACGTGTAAATAACACTTAGGACCAAATCAGATAAAAATGTCATAATCGAGAACCAAATTAAATAATTTTAGTAGTTAAGAACTAAATTGATAAAATCCTCATAGTCAAGGGACCAAATCAGTAATTTTCTCAATTAATTAATAATGTGCCCTAAATTCTCATGAACTATATATTGCTCCCTCTCTACAAAATCATGTGGTGCTCCAGAGAAGACAGATAGATCATCAGCACTACTATGGTCTATGGACTATGGCTCTGCTGGCATCATCCAAGAGAGTGGTGATATCAGTGCCGGTGCTTGTTCTCTCCGCCGCGGCAGCCGCCGTCTTCTTCTTCTTGCTCCTCTCCTCCCTTTCTTCACCTTCATCTACCTCGAATTGCTCTTGCCCTTCCGCGCCTGACCGCACTGCCGCCTCTAGCGCTGTCAGACCGGGGGAGCGGATCTCGGCGTCGGCGGAGGATGTTGAGTGGGCGAGGGAGCAGATCGAGGCCAATGGGCTCCATATGAAAGAAAATGTGCTCCGAAAAGGGATTAACCCTCGTACACGCCAACAACAGCTCCAGGATCTGCTTCAGTATGCCCCTTTAACCTTCTGTCCGTATATTATGCTTATTTGAGTACACGAGTGAGGTTATAATTTGGTTAGGTTTGATCTTCTTATTCGCAAAGTGAATAATTTTTGTTGAAAGATGAAGTGCTATTTTATCATTTACGGAACTGTTGAGCATCATATATGTAAGTATCTTTAACGCCACACAAACAGGAAGTATTTTAGAGTGCCTTTTAATTTGTATGTAAATGAATCAATTAGGGAATATCTGGTGGCTAATTAACAAGTTATAAATGCTTAAGTATATGCTAATAGGTCAGTAAGTTCATCTAGATCATTGTATTGGTGGCTTCCTTATTATAGGAGAATTCTAATTTTTCTCTCAGTCCTCAGTCTCAGAGTCTATTAACTTCATTTATCTTCTAAGGCGTACAATAAAGAAATAATTTTTAATGTTGGACTGTTTAATTGCAGAACTCGTGGATTTGAAGTGTTTTCCTTTCAATTTTAATGTTCCCCTTAGCAAATCATAATGTATTTAAAATCAAATTAGTCTTGAACTATTTTAGAATATTTTTTAGTTTGTTTATGAACTAATCAATTAAAGGAAATTTTGGTGACTAATTAGCCAGTTACACATGCTGAACTGTGTGAATGGTCAGTAAGTTCACCTAGATGATCGTGTTGGTAGCCTCCTAGTTACTAGGGAACTCTATGTTTCTTTTAGAGGCTATTAACTACATTATTGTTCTTCTATATGTTATTTTGAATTATGAGAAGACATACAATAAAGAAATTTTTAATGCTGGACTGTTTAATTGCAAAACTTGTGGATTTGAAGTGTTTTCCTTTCAATTTTAATGTTCCCTTTAGCAAATCATAATGCATTTAAAATCAATTTAGTCTTGAACTATTTTAGAATATTTTTTAGTTTGTTATGAACTAATCAATTAAAGGAAATTTTGGTGACTAATTAGCCAGTTACACATGCTGAACTGTGTGAATGGTCAGTAAATTCACCTAGATGATCGTGTTGGTAGCCTCCTAGTTACTAGGGAACTCTATGTTTCTTTTAGAGGCTATTAACTACATTATTGTTCTTCTATATGTTACTTTGAATTATGAGAAGGCGTACAATAAAGAAATTTTTAATGTTGGACTGTTTGATTGCAAAACTTGTGAATTTGAAGTGTTTTCCTTTCAATTTTAATGTTCCCTTTAGCAAATCATAATGCATTTAAAATCAATTTAGTCTTGAACTATTTTAGTTTGTTTATGAACTAATCAATTAAAGGAAATGTTGGTGTCTAATTAGCGAGTTACACATGCTGAACTGTGTGAATGGTCAGTAAGTTCACCTAGATGATCGCGTTGGTAGCCTCCTAGTTACTAGGGAACTTTCTGTTTCTTTTAGAGGCTATTAACTACATTATTGTTTTTCTATATGTTATTTTGAATTATGAGAAGGCGTACAATAAAGAAATTTTTAATGTTGGACTGTTTGATTGCAAAACTTGTGGATTTGAAGTGTTTTCCTTTCAATTTTAATGTTCCCTTTAGCAAATCATAATGCATTTAAAATCTCAATTTAGTCTTGAACTATTTTAGAATATTTTTTAGTTTGTTATGAACTAATCAATTAAAGGAAATTTTGGTGACTAATTAGCCAGTTACACATGCTGAACTGTGTGAACGGTCAGTAAGTTCACCTAGATGATCGTGTTGGTAGCCTTCTAGTTACTAGGGAACTCTCTGTTTCTTTTAGAGGCTATTAACTACATTATTGTTCTCTAAGGAACTTGTTACTCTGAAAAAAAAATCCAAGAAGTTATTATGCAATTGATTTTAAGTTTTTAACTTTGTTATTCTGAGTACCCACCCTGTTATATTTCTCTGGTTTTGTGTCTGAATATTTACTTCAAAACTATTGGCATTTAGGGTTCTTTTAAAAACAAATCTTTGGTTTTTTGTAAGTAGGTGTTTATTTTGTTGTATACTTTTGGATGGATAAATGTAAAGATGAGGCTGACAAATCTGCATTGAATTTTGTTTTTTTTGGTCTTGTATTCATATTAAGATTGAAGGAGAAGAATGACAGAAAGAAAGAGAACAAACTTTCACAACTAATTAACTAAATACGGAGTATTAACTTTGTTTAACTGAGTAGAACAAGAAACAGATTACATACTCAGAACCAATAATTATTTTCTTCATTGTTTGCTATTTGACTTCTCATTTCATTCATTATTTTTTCAAATTGAATCTGCCTCTTCCAGTAGTAAAACTGGAAATCTTATTTAATTACTTGAGCAGTTGAGCTAATTGTCAGAAATCTTGGTGAACTTTGTTATCATTTCAAGGTTCAAGGGAATATCACACTATGAAGGAGAGGAAGCGAATAATCACACTACTCTCCCTTGTCCTGGTGAGCTCCTTGTAGAAGAGCACCACAGCAATTACGGGGAGCCTTGGGCAGGAGGGCGAGATGTGTTTGAATTCCTTGCAGAATCGGTTCATCTAGCTCCAAACTCCAAGGTTCTGGAGATTGGATGTGGGACTCTTCGTGTTGGTTTGCATTTCATTCGGTACTTGAACCCTGAAAAATACCACTGCCTTGAAAGAGATGAGCTATCCTTAATGGCTGCCTTGCGGTATGAGCTTCCATCCCAAGGTTTATTACCTAAACGTCCTCTTATCATAAGAGGTGAAGACATGGAGTTCAGTAAATTTGGATCTGGAACTATCTATGATTTGATATATGCAAGTGCTGTTTTCCTTCATATGCCCGATAAGCTTGTATGGGCTGGGTTAGAGAGACTTGCTGATAAATTAAAACCTTTAGATGGTCGTATTTTTGTGTCACACAATATAAAGTTTTGTTCAAGATTAGGAGGAGACGAATGCACAAAAAGGCTAAGTAATCTTGGCCTTGAGTATCTTGGGAAGCACACTCATGATAGTTTTCTCTTCAACCACTATGAGATTTGGTTTGAATTTAGGCGTTTCAAGGCTTAAGAGGTGGAGATTGATAATTTGTATTTCCGAGGAAGCAATTGGAACTGTGTTCTCATTGTTCTTCTGATTCATTCTTTCATTTATGAGGAAGTAATCTTGGCATTGAGTATCTCGGGAAGCACATTATGATAGTTTGCTCTTCAACCACTACGAGATTTGGTTTGAATTTAGGTGCTTCAAGGCTTAAAAATACATACATTCAGATGGAGATTGATAGTTCATATTTCTGAGGATGCAATTGATCAGCACTCAGAACCATCTGCTCATCTTGTTCTTATTGTTCCCTTGATCCATTCTTTACCGGAAACATGACACCTATGCACTGTTTCGCGATGTGCAAGAGAAATGACAGATTTTTGATAGAGGAGCTTAGTGGTCATTAAGTTGTAGTTGAAGTGTAGGAGTCTGCTCTGAACTTACCATGGAGAATGTTATTCACCATGTCATCACTGTATTGTAGTTATATATGCTAGGCAGTTAGACAGTTATGTCATAATCACATTTTAGCATGCCCATATGTGTAACTTTCTGATGTATATTTGAATTTCTACTTAACAAAGGCTTCTGTTATACACATTGTTTCAATGACGCATCAGTGGACATGTACTTGAAATAAATGTTCGTCAATTCATTGACTTCCAAGTTTTTTTTTTTTTTTTTTAAAAAAAAAAAAATCACCAGATGTTTATACTTTGTATTATGAAAAGAGATATTGATAAATAAAGTTACTTGTCCACACCATAACATTTTTAGTATTATATATATATATATATATATATAGAGAGAGAGAGAGAGAGAGAGAGAGAGAGCTACAATAATTTGTCAAGAGATAGAGAAAGTTATGTTTGAAAATTTTTAAAATGACACTTATATTGATATATATTTACTATATTAATAAGAGTCCAACAGAGTTAGGCCTATAATGGATGAAAAAATGGCGGTCAATTTTTTTTTTAATGAAATCAATGATGGATTAATTAGATTTTAATTTTTTCCTTTAAGATTTTCTAATTTATCCTTAATGAATATGATTATCCGTTAACTTTTTCGTTAAATGTTATTTTTTCCGTTAATTTCTGTTAGTTCACCGTTAACTTACTCATTGATTTCAATAAGAAATGTCTTAGGTTCGAATCTCATTCCAATCAAAGTTGGCATAATTATTACTCTATTTTACTCCTATTAAATTAAATAATAATTTAGTAGCTACAACAACAAAAAATAATACATATGCATTTCTTTAATTTAGAATTATGTGTCTACAATGTCTTTAATAAAAAAAAATTATTCATTATCAATAAATTAAATAAGAGAAATAATTTCATTAGTTATATTGTACTTATTTTTCTCCAATATAAAAATTCTTTACATTCAAATTCATCAATGGATTATATTCACTACATTGTCCCTACAATGTAAAAAAAAATTATACATTATCAATAAATTAATTAAGAGAAATAACTTTAATAGTTATATTGTTTTTATATTTCTCCAATGTAAAAGTTCTTTACATTCAAATTCATAAATTGATTATATTCACTACATTGTCTATTATCTTTTTTTTGTGCACTATTTTTTAATTAAATATCAAATTTATAATACAAAATAATGTTATATATTTATTTATTAAGTATTTTATTAATACCATGAAAAAACTAAAAAAATATAATTAATAAAGTTAATCATATTAACTACTTGAGGGATTTGTTGACAAAGAGAGTATTCAAATCACACAACAAATTGAAGTGAGAACTACCTCGCAATGTCCATGTTTGACAATCAGCAATTAACGGTTAGCGTTACCGAATTATATTAGCGAATTATGTTAGCGAATTTGACCAGCGAATTATATCAACAGTTTGTAAAAAGATATTTGAAAAAATTAACTGTTTAGATTAACATGTAAAATGACGTAAGGGTATACATAATAATAATAATAATAATAATAATAATAATAATAATAATAATAATAATAATAATAATAATAATAATAATAATAATAATAATAATAATAATTGTTTTAAAAAAATAAAAAATATATAATTAAACCAATCATATTAACTACTTGGGGATTTATTGACAAAAAGAGTATTCAAATCACACAACAAATTGTAGTGAGAAACTATCTCGCAATGTTTTTGTTTAGCAATCCGCAGTTAGCTCTTCAATATTAGTATATATTTAATATTTTATGCCATAATTTTAATTTGCTCTCCCTTATGTCCCGTATTTGGTTTCAACCATATCTATACAATTATTTTATTGACAATTATAATCAATCTTGACTATATTATTTTGCATTTGTAAACTTAGAATTGCCTATTTAAATACGCAAATTTAATATTAAATTATCTATGCATGAACAATTCCAATATAATCCTGCCTTGATTTCAAACTATCGAAGTGTGAATTGAGTCTAAATAGTAAATAGATAATTAACCGCGTGGATGTCCATAAGTGATTTAGATAAGGTCACAAAGGTTGTATACCCACAAAACTTAGGAGTTTTACTATAAAATGTTGTTCACGGTCTAACAAGAAAATGAAAAAGCGACATGAAGTATTAAAATGACCACGTTGGTTTAAGAAGCTTAGCCCTGAAAGACGAATGGAGATAATAGGAAAGTTAAAACTCGAGAGATTACTCTTCTTTGTTTTAAGATTTCAAGATCACTTATCTTGAATCTTGATTCATCATTTGCTTCTGATCCTTTTACGTGTAAAGAAAGTTGTAGAAAGAAAGTCGTCATCCAAATTAAGAAGCGGAAGCGGAAAGAGTTTATTGAAGAGTTGAACTATTACCCATAATTTAATTTGTGTCTTTGAACTCTTTCATAGCTGCAAACGTTTTTGTCAGTATTCTTGTTTTCTGGCAACTTGGTTACGCTGTTCTTTTTCAATGGTGCTGCTTCGCCAACGAGCCCCTCCTTGAGGACATGTTCCATCGCCTTTAAGGCATCCTCAATAGTTGAGGATTTTACCTCTAATTTTTGTGGGTCTCAACATTCACCTCATCATCCACTATCTCACTCAATTACAAAATCTTTTCGCCCCATTAGTTTTTAATTTTTTTCTCAACTTTTTGTGGACCCACCATTTTATCTCCATATTTTAATTATTTTTTTATTATTTGAAATAAAAATTTATAATTTTAGAGGTAAACATAAATGATACGTAAAAATAATACGTAAATTAGCATACGTAAAAATTGCAAGCTTTCATTTTCAAACTTATAATTAAAATAAACATAATAAGCCTAATTAATTAATACGATAGTTATAAAATGAAAATTAAACAACTAATTGCTTAAAAATTAAACTACAAAAAAAATAAAATAATAATAATAATAAGTTGTGCCGTTGCAAAATTATGGTCGTTGTCATTGGCAACGACACAAATTTTGGTCGTTGCCAATGGCAACGATCAAAAACAATTAATTTCAGAGTGGCCGCCAGTTGTCGGCCACTCTGAAACGCCTTGGCGTGCGCGTGTAACACACGCGCACGCCAAGCAGAGTTACACGCGCCCGCCAAGCAGAAGGGTGAGACGCCGTCTCACCCTTCATTTGTTATTATTTTTTAAAAAAAAAACTTCTGACAGTTTTTTTGTATTGCAGGCATGGTTGCAATAGGCGCTAGGCGCTAGTCGGGCGCCCGGGCAGCGCCTAGCGCCTAAGCGGTCTAGGCGGCGCTTAGGCGGAATCTAGGCGGCGCTAGGCGGGCGCCAAAAAAACAGTGGTAGACTTGCAGTTTGACAATTTTAATGAGGTTGTTTTCAACATTTATTCAAATAACACATCCAAATAAATGAATTAATGATAATTCATAAGTCATAACATCAAAACTATGGTTTTCCAAAAAAAAATTATATATATATAAATGAAAAAAATTAGCAAGGTCAAGTCGGCCGGGTTAACTCGGCTAACTCGACAAAAATTGACGAGTAAACTCGGCGTAATCGGCCGAGTTAGGCGCTAGGCGGCCGAGTTAGGCGCTAGGCGGCCGAATTAGGCGCTAGGCGGCTGGTCTCCTAGGCGGGAGCCTAGGGGGGAAATCGCCACGGCTTAGGGGCGCCTAGCGCCTAGGCGGCGATTACTCGGTGCCTAGGCGGGATTTTTGCAACCCTGATTGCAGGAGAAAAATACAGCTTAATTTTTGGCTTCCCATTAGTTCAAAAGCAAAGCAAGTAGATTTTACTGTTTCAAAATTTGGGTATGAACCCCTAATGGGGATGCCCTTAGAGTACTGTCTAATTAGAAATTAAGTTAGAGATTTTTATGAGATAGAATTTAGTTTGTTACGTTTTTTACTATATTAATTTTCATTCTACTGTTATTTTATTACACTATTCATGCTTTTTTGGCGGGTGGTATCATTAGCTACCTGTCGGACCCTATTTAAAGTTTAACATGGTATCAGAGCAATAAGCTTCAATCAAGAAATTTCAGATGTTTATATTAATCTCTAATAAGAATATATATATATATATATATATATATATATATATATATTGCATACATGAGAAAGAAAGAAAAGGAAATGAATAGATGAATTCAAATTGATGTTGAAAAGGAAATGCATACATTAGTTTTGCCTCCTCCGTTAACATTAGCAACACAACTCCACTAACACTTCCTCTTCCAACAATTCATAATCACAAAAGCTTCAACAACACTAGAAAAACTACTGATGTATATTTCATCTCTTTCTAGTTTGATTTTTTTTTTTCTATGAATTTTATAGAACTGGTTTCCGATGCGAAACCAGTCGCATCGGAAACCAGTTCTGGTTTTCGCACAGGTTTCTGATGCGGAAACCAGTGAGAATGCTGCATTTAATTTGAGCCACACTCTAACATAAATTTTAACATGGTATCAGAGCATTAGGCTTCTATCAAGAACTTCCAACATAAATTTTAACATGGTATCAGAGCATTAGACTTCAATCAATAACTTCCTGGTGTCTAATAACATAGTATCAGAGCAATAGGCTTCAATCAATAATTTTCAGGTGTCTAATCTTATGGCCCGTTTGGTTCACGAAATAGGCCTAGAATAACATAGCAGTAATAGAGATATTCCTTTGTTTCGCAAAGATTTGTATTCCTAAAAATAATATTCCGGGTAATAACCTATTCCCCAAATAAGGTAATATAACTATTACCTAGCCTCCCCCGGTATTAACCTATTACTGAGTCCTCAGGAATAAATTTTTTATTTTATTTTCTATTTTAATATTTTGTTTAACCTAAACATTTTATGCTATCTTTCTCTCTTATTCTCTGTCTTTGTGATCCCTTTCTCATTTGCATCAAATTGAAGCTTTAAACAAATGTATTAATCTCAATTTTATTTTATACACCAATGGGGCCAGCAAAATAGAGACAACCAGTAATAGACCATCAATGTATTCATCCTAAACTATAGCACCATTGAGAACACTCTGGAATATCATCTAATTTGGTTTTCTTCACCGCTTCTTCTGCTTTTGCTAGCAATATAGAAATATTATTCTCTCCAAGTAAGTGCTTTAGTTCTAAAGCTCCCCCAATATAACCACCCATATTCTCCGGTGGACAAGGAATTCTACCACTTTCTTCATATTTCCATGTATGACAGAAACCACTAGAGCTCTTTATGGATCAAGTGTGTTATCATTGTCGCAGGATTTTTGAGCAAAATCAACAGAATTAGTCTCTAATTAAAAATCTCTTGCTCTTTGTTTTCCGATGGTTGAGCATTCGCAACAGACCCACGACCACCATTCACTGTGTTAATCGCCGCCGACTCCGAGACTGGAACATTAGCGCTGTCTAGGTTTGACCCATTCTCAACCATCTGAGCTCCCCCATGCGAACCACCAGTCGCCTGCGACACAGAACCGAGAATCCTCCTTGCTATCTCCATTATAAAGATTCATTGGATATGTAATTGTTTAGACAAACTAACACAAGATAGATTTTTTCTTTTTAAAAAAAAATGTCTGCAGGTAAAGAAATAGAAGCGGCTGTGGTGATGATGATCTCACTAGATGGCTGTTGGATCGAATTTAGGTAAGAATACCACCGGTTCCTTTGTCATAGTCCTCTGCTCGTTGGAGACTTGCCGGCGTCGCAACAAATCACAGAAATCCCGGCGACCGCCGATTGACAATCTGAGCAGTGAGGGGCGTTCGCGACACCTCCCCAACGTCAACCAAAGCCTCCAATCGTCCATGCAAAGCTTCAATCGCCGGTAAAACCTCCAAACCCGAAGGCTGGGTTACGATGCGAGACTTCGCAATTGACTGCCGATCGCCAAATTGATGATGGCGATCACGATGTTGAGGACGGACAAGACAATGGGAGGGCGTCAGGATCTCTCTTAAATCCTAATGACATGCTATAACAAGTCAATAATTGATTTTTGGACTTCATTGTAAGAAAATAACATGTTAAAATATTTAATTATAACTTTTAAAATTTTAAACTCCTAATTGACTTCGCTTCAATTCTCGAATAATAGTATAAAAATTTTAGATTAAAAGTTTAGGTTAAACTTCGCAAATAATAATATAAAAATTGTCGACGTACATAAATAATAAACTTCAATTCTTTAATTATTTGATTTTAGGGTCCATTTGGCATTTTGGCGATCCAAAAAATGTTTTTTTTTTTTAAAAGAAAATAATTATTGAAAAATGGATCATTTCTTGGAAAGCATATCCTTTTCTACTATTTGGCTAAAGTCATAATACAATCTTTTCCTATTTTGCTGGGAATAAAAAAATATTTTAATGTTTGGTTCAGTTTTTAACAAATGAACATAAATATATTATAGAGTTATTTATTGGATATTTTGCTCTCTTTTCATTTTATATTTTCCTTTAATTTTAAGCCTTGTTTACCTACGAAATTAGAGCTCATCATTCAAAAATTACAAATATTTGATGGATATTTTGCTCTTATAGGAAAAGTGATATTATTATTATTATTATTATTATTATTATTATTATTATTATTATTATTATTATTATTATTATTATTATTATTATTATTATTATTATTATTATTATTATTATTATTATAGGGTTATTTATGTTTTTCTAAAAACATATTCAATTTTTATTTCTTAAAATAACCAAATACTGTAATAACGTAACATTTCTAAAGTCTTTTTTTTTTTCCTTCACCAAACCAAACAACAAAATACAATTCATGTTCTATTCTTTGCCTATTCCATTTCTTTATGAAATATCATTTATATTCCCTTAAAATTTATTTTATGAACCAAACATGATGTATTAGTTTTAAAGTAATTTTCATCACTTTTTGAAATATTGTTGGTCAGTAAATTGATTATTTTTAAATATTAATAAAATAAAATAAAATATAAGTTGACATGATAATGTAATATTATATTAATGTGACAATGATAACATCAACAAAGTTTTGTACGTATACTGTATATATGGTTTAGCTATTTACTTTTTCTTAAACTAGTATAGTTTGAAACTTTATTTCTTAAATTAATTAAGGTACTTTTAAACTCTTTTATCAAACTGGAACACATTTTACCTTATCTATGTTATTATTGAGTTGTCATGGAAATAATGACATGTCATGCAACATGTGAAGGTCATCTACAACGTTGCAATTGCAGCACGTACCATACTTATAAGATGGCGTGACAATTTCTTTTTAAGTCACATTGAATTGCTTTAATTTGCAATAATATAATTCTGATAGAGACAAAATTGAAAAATTTGCAACTCTATTGTCAGAATTGTAAAAAACTTGTATATATTTTTTGTTGTTATTATTATATGCTAATAATATAAATTTAAAATAAATTATTATATAATTTTAATAATATTTATTTTACTTCAAATTTATATATATTTTGTATATTTTATTAAATTTAAATAAATAATTTATATTTTAATTTTTTTATAAAATTGAAAATAATATATATTTTACTTTAATATATCTATGCCTAAAAATATAAAAGGCTAGGAATATATTTCAAATCATGCAAGAAATATTTTTCCAAATATACAAGGATAATTTTTAGTAGTTTTTTTTTCCTTTTTTGAAAGGATAAATTTTAGTAGTTCTTTACACAAAAAAAAAAGAGGGGTTTTTATCTTTAAAGGACTGTAGCGAATTATATAGGTAGGAAATTAACAAAAAATCTTTTTCAATGAAAATATTAAAGATTACCATGTATATATACCGTTTACATACATCTTAAAGATTAGCCTTCTACAAGAATCAATGGCTAAGAACATAGCGATATTGTCATTTTTACTGATGCTTTTAGTGTTGTTTGATGTAACAATAGGCACTCAAATTTATAGAGTTGGAGATTACTTTGGTTGGAACAATAGTACCAAGATTGATTACTCAAAATGGTCTGCTTCAAAAGATTTTCACGTCGGCGATGTTCTTAGTAAGTGATATATGCATGCAAATTAAACTCCCTTTATTGTATATATAAGTTAATCTTGTTTGATGCTAAATGTTGTAACATATATAACGTTGATGATGATCAGTGTTCCAGTTCGATCCCAACAACGATAATGTGTTCAGAGTTTCTGCGGAGGATTTCGCAGGCTGCCGTGCGCCGTCACCGATCGGCCTCCCCAGCGACGGCCAAGAGTTTTACGCTCTTGACAGTCCCGGCCGGTGGCACTTCATCTGCAGCATTCCCGGCCGCTGTGAAGCCGGCGAAAAGCTAGAAATCGTGGTCCATCCATCGGTGTCTTCAGCCCCGTCGTCTCAGCCTTCGTCACCGGTACCTCCGACGACTAATCCACCGGCCATGGCTCCTGCTCCGACCCGGTCTCATCAGAGTGAAAATCAGCCGGCGCCGCCACCTCAAAATAATCCGTCGTCGTCCAGTTCATCTCCGGCGGGTTCACCCCTTAATGAATCTCCGTCGTCAAGTGGTAAACTCAGTCCTGATCAGTCGCCGTCAAATTCTCCCGCCGACGAGAAAAGTGCCTCGGTTTCGGTACCGGCGAACGTATGGGTGGCAGTGGTGGCCGTAGCGGTCTCTGTGTTTTCCATTGAACGGCGCAACTACTAGCAGCAGATGATTTAGTGAATTACACCTTTCTAATATTTTCATTCTCTCTTTACTATTGAATTTATTTAGTGGTAATTGGTTTTGTCCCATTTTTAGAATTTTCTAATACTTTATTAGTATGATTGTCACGTTTTGAATTTGATTTGTCCAAATTATCGAAATCCATATTACTAAAATCATTAAAATAAAATTATAGATATCATAATTCTTGATCGTGTAATTGAAATTCCGTTACATTGAAGCTACACTTCGTTTTGATCTATATATTCATATGTTGTTAGTCTTCTAAAGCACCCAAACAAAATACATGCATCTATGATCTATATATGATATGTTGTTATATTACTAGTATTTTCCCGTGCAGTGCATATTATTGTTTTGATGTTATGGTTTTAAATAGATATAGTCTAATTAAAAATGTATAAATATAACGGTTAGTTTTACCGTTTAGGCCACTCGGACGGCGGGTCAATACTGCCGTAAAATACTAAGTAAACAAAGGGTTATTTTGAAAAAAGGTGAGACAGAATAACGATACATGTATTGGATTCCGACTCTTTACAGTGTCACCCCATGGGTATTATAAACAGAATATGGCCTTCTAAGGCAAGAAAGAAGAAATTAACCAAAATAATCTTGAGAAAGCTTCTAAAACTGCTAGAGTACCTTCCTAATGTGAAAAAAAGGAAGTTACTTGTTGTATAAGGAAAGAATCTCCGCCCGCTGAATATACTTTTAACTGCCTTTGTGATGCGCACTAGGATCTTGACTAACTCAAACAAAGAATTAATAAATTAAACAGTAATTAATAAACAATAAACAATAATTAGTAAATTATAATTATGTCAGTCTAACAAGATGTGGGAAAATATATTTTTGTTCAAGTAATGTATAGTAGTAGCCTTAAATCAAGGAAGAATACAAAGAATTAGGGATGTGGGTAGAGAATATATACCTTGAGTCGAGTAATGAGACCTGAAATAGTTCAATTATTGATAGTCCAAAATCTTTGCCAAAATTCAAGTGAGAAATCATATTACCGATTTACCGCTTTGATATTAATGGAGGATCGCCAGATTGAATGAATTGGAAAGATCGACGAAAGTACTGAGACGAAATGAATCGCCTTTTTGGGGAATTTGAAAGCTAAGGTCAGTCAATTATTTTTTTTCCTTTTCAAATATAAATATAAATATGTGACCCGGAAGGGTCACAAATTCTCACTTTTTTTCATGACTCTAACATACGTGTTTCGTACAAGGGTCGGGAATGACCTATTTTGTACTAGTGGGTGGTCGGGACTGTGGATTTCAAAAACTTAAAAGACTTCATATAATTAAATATACATCACATATCTCTTATACAATGACAGTATAATACAATGAAAATACTAGCTAGGATAAGAGAGGGATGCAGTCGCACATCTCCACTTTTTAGTTCTTAATATCTTATTTTATAGGTAAAAAACACTATAAAGTTCTTTAATTTCTTAGTCCTTTAATTTATATATGAGATAATCAGTTTATGAGTTACGATTCTCTCTACTTTGCTGAGACATCGCCGGCCGCCGGAGCACCAAAACGGAAGCGTTGAGCACCGCCCTGAGCGGCGTAGAAGTTGTACTTTCCGGTTTGCAATCCATTAGGCTTGTGATCATATTCTCCATTATTATTATTCTTCCCAGTGGAAGGCTTTACCCACCCGTTCCTGCGACGGTAATTCAGTTGGGACATTTGCATGCGAACCTTCTCGAACAAGTCTTGTTCAACACTGTTGTTGCTGCTGCTGGGGTGTTCGCCGCCGGCGACCACGTTGTCCTTCATGCTTAAGAAGCTTTCACCGGCGGCGGGATAGCCGTGATGAGCGTACGACGACGGACGGTGAGCGCCGCCGCTGATGGAGTTTCCGGCCATGTGTCGCTCCATGGCCTTGTAGGTGTTAAAGTTTCCTCTGTTCGTGAAGCCATAACCTGCCATGGTGGTATTGGTCTAGGTGATGTGATGAAGGTTTAACAACTTTTGTTTTTTGGTTTCTTTGGTGAGTTGTAATAATGATGGCAATAGAATTTGGGTTTATATAGAAGAGCGATACCAGCGGGTTTCGTGGAAGCTAAGATATTGTTGGCAAATTATGCCATGGACCAGAGTGTGTCATGGCAAACCGCAAACCCTATCCAATTCACACATTATGTACTTATAATTAATATGCTAAATTATTAATCATTAGATAGAATATATTAATTATAAACACATAATTTTTAGATTAGAGTTCACAATTTGATATGAATCCGGGTTCATATTATAACAATAGGATATTGTTACAAGGACGGAACCAAGCTACCCCCTCACCCCATCCTCAGCTCATAGATAATCTTTGTATGTATATATATATATATAGTACATGATTTAGTATTAGTATAAAAAAACTATTAAATGTTAATAAAATAATAAAAAATGAGTTAGATTAGTTGGCCAAACATATGTTTAGCAATAGTAAATGTCAAGCTAAGGGCTTGAATCTTTGGCATGCATCAACATAGTTTACCGTTTTTTTTTACTCCTCCCTATGGCTTCAATACAGTCACGTTTTTAATAGTTTTTTTAGTATTTAACACACACATATATAACATTCTTTTATATTAATAATGAGATGTATAATTTATAATGTCTTTTCTATTCAAATCATTTTATCAAATTAATTATGTTTCATATTTTGTTATGAATATATTTATAAAGTTTCGATTTGTTTTATTTTTCGTCCATATCCAACAATATAATATTTCTTAGGTAATTTATTTAAATAATCTTTTTTATTTTAATGTTTCTCCTTTACTAAAAAAATTTTCTGAATTCGTCTCTATTGCTTTGCCCACCTCAACCAAATTTCTGGCTCCGTCTTGTTACTTGATGGTATTCAATAATTTGAGGTATATGATGCTTTTCTATCTCTAGCTAGCTTCACTTTTGGACGGTTATATGAGAATCTGGACTCTATTTTCCGAAAGTACAATATTCTGCATCTGTACACGTACATGTTGCATGTGGTGGTGAAAACAGAATCAGCTAGACCCAGGCTGCAAGACATTTGTACTACGTGAGAATTTATGCTAGGTTACAACAGTGTAGATTGTCGGATAACTACTGTTGGAATTATATTCAAGCTAGCCTGTTTGATTGGGAAATAATAGAACTAGTGTTGGAAAATTTGGCATAAATTGACGAGTGTGTGATGGGTCATTTTGACTATCGAGGCATTATTTTGAATGGGTACACAGATATTTCAGAGTTAGAGTGGATTAGCATCTCCTTTGTCTTACCCAAAAGACTGAATCCTCAGCCCTAAGGGCCCCTCACACTCCGATCCGACAGAGCATGTGGGAGAATATTGTAGGGACCGTTGATTAGAAAACAAATAATAATCAAATAAAATTGACTATTATTTTCTGGAAAGAAAGGAAGAAAAGATGAAGGAAAAATGGCTAGTGTTTGGTGTTGGGTTTTTACAAGAGTCGAGTGACCACTCTTTCCTTAAAACCTTATTTGCCACCTCCCGTAGATGCTAGGAGCGTTGTGGCCTAGGCTTCCGAGGATAAAACTTGCGTTGATTCAATGTTTGAGCACTCAAACAAGGAATCCGGCGAGCAAGACTGGCTATGAACACAATAGGCTAGAGAAGGAGTAGAAGCAGAGAGGTTTTGAGGCTTAAAAAATGAACTAAGTTATGCCAAACTTCGGTATCATTTTCCAACTGTATAGTCACTTGCCCGAGAGCACCACTCTCGTGCTACACGAGAGGGGCACGAGAGGTTGTGGTGCACCGAGAGCACAACTCTCGTGCAACAGCGAGCACGAGAGGTGCAAGGGCCGAAACTAGGTGAGGTCGAAAGTTGCGACCGAACCCTGTACGCCAACGGTCTGGAACCCGAAAGTTCTGACTGTTGAGGAGATTGAATTCATCCGTTACGGAATTAATTGTCTATTAATTCTAATTTTGAATACCAAGATATCTCACCTCAAACTTACAAAGAAAAACAAGATACCTCACCTCAAACATCGGCCTAATAAAATGGTGGAAGAGTGAATCACGATCACTTAGCGACCTCTTAGTAATTAATAAAACACTTATCTCATGTTGAAAAAGAATGTAACTTAGGTTTGGACAAGTATACATATACTTTTGCTAATTTTCAAAAAATGTAAAATATGTTATTGGCCTTGAATTGTTTCGCAATCAGCAGTTAGCGATTTATGTCAGCGGATAGCGGATTGTGTTAGCGGATTTAACCAACGGATTGTATTAGCAGTTTGTAAAAAAATATTTCTTAAAATTAGCTATTTAATATTAACGGTTACTTGGTAAAATACACAAAAAGACATTCATAGTAGTAGTAATAATAACAATAACAATAACAATAACAACAACAATAATAATACCAATTGTTTAAAAAAGAAGAAGAGGTTGGGTATTGAGCTACTTCATTAAAAAGTGATTTGGGATCATAGATCCAGCATAAAAAAGGAAATAAAAAGAACGCGTTGAGCTCAATGCCCCTTATTCAGTATTCACCCTTGCCCATCCGATTCGTACATCAAAACATCAAGAAATTAAAGAGAAGCCTCAGGTTTCATTATTAAAGAAGCCTCTGAGACTTCTTTGTTAACCACGTACACAAATCTTTTTAAAAGATGTAAGGCATTTTAGGCAAAAGTCCAAAATGCCAAGTAAAAATGCTACAAAATATAATGCGTGTTTCAAAAAACAATGATTTGAAGTCAAATCGTTGTTCCAAACAGCTAATTACTAAATAATTTCTTTAACAATTTAACCAAGTTAAACTACTAAAGATGATCAAGTTCATCAAAAATTGATTAATCAGCTATTAACCAAACAAGTCCATAAGAAATCTTACTATTGTTCCTAGGCTTACTAAAGTCTGATCTAGAAAGGGACATTTTATACAAGAGGGTATACGAAATTATGAATGAAGTCTTTTGCATGTCTCGTTTTAATTAAACAGTGGTAGCATGTAGTCCTTTAATTTTACAAAGACCTTCAATTAAAACTTTCAAAAAAAAAAGAATAATATTAATTATAGTAGATACATAATTATTAATTGAATATATAAAATTTATTTAAATATCTTTTTAAATTAAGGTTTATAATGTAATTTGAACCTCGATATATATGCTATAACAATTGGTAAACAATTAAATAGGCCAATTCCGATCCTGTCATGACTCATGAGCAGTATATCAGATTGATGCATTTGATTGTAAATAATGCATGCATTCATTTTGATAAACACGTAGTTTGCATTTATTCGAATGGAGAAATTTGGACGCAACGTAACATTATTATTTAAAAAAATGAAAAAGATTATTAAATTATTCTATTCAAATCCAGACGAGAATCTTATTCGTGTACCACTTTACCGACCGTATCATTTGATGACTTGGAAAGTTAGTCTTCAATAATTGTTTTGATCTTTGTGGTCTAAGAACATCCACAATGGTTGGGGAAAATTGGGGAATAATGTAAGAGTGATTAGGAGAGAGAATGTGAGAAGAGGAGGAAAAAAAACAAAAAAAAAAACCAAAATCAAAAAATCAAAAACGAAAAAAAAAAAAAGAAAAAAAAAAAGAAGAAGAAGAAGAGTCAGGCGCGCCTGACGCGCCCGTGTGGGCTGGCTGCTGTGCGCGAAACGCGCACAGCAGCCCATGTTTTATTTTTTTTATATATTTTTCTTCTCTTTCTTCTTTTTCTGTCATTATCTCAAAATTTGCAGATGAATTCTTCCCCAATTAATTCTCCCCCACATTAGCTATAAGAGCATCCATATCAATTGTAAATATTAGGGGGAGAATGTAAGAGTGAGTAGGAAAGAGAATAATGTGGGAGGGGAGGGAAAAAAAAAATCAAAACTGATTTTATAAAAAAAATATATAAAAAATAAGCATGTCATTTCTGTATTGGTTGTCTTTCCTCCATCATTAATTCTTTTTCTTGGGCAGAGTAATATCTCAACATTTGCATATGCTCTCCACCCCTTCTCTCTCTTGATTCTCTCTGCCACCATGACATTTTGGCCTCAAAAGTAGTGAATTCTCCCCTATTTCTTCTCTGATGTAAATGCTCTAAACTTGAATGGAGTGAATTAATGCTGCATTCTCCCCACATTATCCACTATTGTGGATGCTCTAAGCTGAGTACAAGACATTGATTTACTATAGCCTGCAATTCGTCAACAGTATTTCTTGATATATTGGAAAGTCAAGAAATAATAATAATAATAATAATAATAATAATAATAATAATAATGTAAATCATTGTATTGAATGATTTTAATCACAAAGAGTACAGACAATAAGAATATATATAAAATAGAATTACAGAATGACCGGGATAAAAAATCATACTGATTCAAATATATAGAGTCCTAATAAAAATGACGTCGATCCCAAACCTCATCGGAATGACGCTTTATTATTCCAATAGTGCAACAACTATTAAAGGCTATATTCTAACACTATACATAGTCTAGTAGAATTAGATTTCTTAGTTTGTTCTGGAATTCCTCCTTAAAGGAGGGAATCATCAGTCATATTTGTTAGATTTCTCCTAAACACAATTAGTCCTCCATTTATATATTACTGTTGAGATAACAAGAAATTACATATTGTTAGCTCACAAGAATAACAAACGAAAAATCTAAAGGAATTTGAATTATGAAATCTTAACTATAATAAAGCTATATGGTTTGAGAAATAATTAATGTTACAATTAATGCCACAACACCCTTTATTATATATAAATAAAAAAAGCATAACATTTGAAAAATAAAATTGCTATATATTATATATCATATAAAAAATGTGTTCAATTAAAGTTTAAATTTACTCATACAAAATTTGAAATTTGCTTTCCAAATATAATTATCTTAGTTATTAATTTATTATTCTATTGTGAAAATTATAATATAGATGAAATACAATTAAAAATAAATTAATGTATCATGTAAATTCTCTCTATAAGTTTATTTGAATATGCACATAATTAGAGATTATATTAACCATACAAAATTTTAATTTTAATTTTAATTTTAATTGTAATTTTGTATTCTATAAAAATAATAAATACTTGACCAATGGAAGCTCAAAAATATTATTATATTAAACAATTTAGAATATTTTAATTTTTTTATTTTTTATTTATATTTATAATAACATAATTTTTTCTCGTGCATCGCACGGATGAATTACTAGTTACTAATAAAATTAGAAAGAATGAGCTATAATTGACATTTTGTGGTATAATTTTTATTTGAGTTAATATCCAAAATGATCATCGACAATAGTGATTTTTTTCAATTTTGTCTCGACTTTGATGAATTAATGTAGTTCCAGATTTTTTGTTTTTGCTCAATTTAGTTCTCAGCCTGTTATTCCGTCAAATTGATGTTAAATAAAAGGACAATTCAGTAATCTCAATATTGATCTCTTTTTACTTTCAGCCATAGGAAGTGCAAAATCAATCTTTCTTTTACGAATTACTCCTGGACCTGCAAATCAAATTTTATATTCGCAAGTTATGGATTAATTCATATAAGAAAGAAATATTTCGCATTTCACAGGTCTAGGAGTAAAGAGATGTCAATATTGAAATTACTGAGTTGTCCCTCTATTTAACACCAACTGGACGGAATAACAAACGGATGACTAAATTGAGCAACAAAAGTCTGGGACTATATTAGATCACCAAAGTCGTTTAGGACGAAATTGAGAAAATCATTATAGTCAAGGACCATTTTGAGTATTAATTCATTTTTAGTGGGTCCACTTCCGATTAGGGTGGTGTCAAAATAGAATTGGGTTCTCCCAAGTGAAATGTTTAATTTGATACAGAGTATATTATATGCTTAAAATCGATAATGGTTGATTGAGCAATTAATTTTGAAAGTATACCAATTTGAGTTAGGAAAAATGCACTTGAGAAGGTTTTTGAATAGTTTTTAATTTGTCCCACATTGAAAATAGATGTGAGTTTGCACAAGTATATATACAATTCAACTTTTTAAAAAGTTTAATTGTATATATCATGTAGTTTCTCTCGAATGTGCGCCATGAGTGGTGCAAATTAAATTTAAATCAAAATTTCAAAATGAGCTAAAAAAGTTTAGACTTGTGTGCACCCACGACTCGTGCACGTTGAGGTTCTCAAATTTGTGTTGTTGTATATGCAACATAGAAAATGTAAGTTAAGTTTGATCAATTCTAATTTTTATATTTTTTATATGAAAATTAACTTTGTAACATCATATTTAATCTGACTAATTTGCAAATTATAGTAGTTATACGCGTTTGAATGTCATGAATGCTATGAATTTCATTTCTCCTATAAATAAATTGTGTTGGGCATAATGTTTACTTCTATTATATATTTTGAAGTGTGTCTTTGTTTAGGTTCGTTGAAACGTTAATTTTTGAATGTTCAAATATCTACGTAGAATCCATTACATGGTTAAGAAAATCGCTAGGTGCTTTTCAGGCGCTCTGAGGACGCCCAGTGACTAGAGCGCCTAAGTGTCTATGTATTTTATATTTCTAAAAAATTTATCTAAAATTTTAAAATTTTATAATTTAAGACAATAATTATAAATTATTTAATACTTTAAGCATTAATATTAAAATATTAAATATTAAACTAAAAAACATCTTTTATCTTATCTTGCTAGTTGCTACTAGTACTTGTACAGCAACTCACTTGAAAACAGGAGTGTAAACGAGCCGAGCCGAGCTCGAGCCTGGGTGGGCTTGAGCTTGAGCTCGTTAATGGAGGCTCGGCTCGAGTTCGAGCTCGAGAACTGATGCTCGAGCTCGAGCTCGGTAATTTTTGGGGTGCTCGAGCAGCTCGATTGTTCGGGTTCGAACTCGAGCTAGCTCGATTTTGACATTGAATTTGACCTATTTAATACTTTTGATTTAAAATTCAAACAACTTTGTTTTATCCATACATAAATAATAGAAATCTTTTAGGGATTTTGAGTTTAAAATTTTAATTTCTAACTGTTATTTTTATATATTATTATTATATTATATTATATTATGTATTATATATATTATATATATGGCTCGCGAGCGAGACGAGCCACGAACCTAGAATATCTAGGCTCGACTCGAACTCGATTACTAAACGCGTCGCTTGAGTTTGATTCGAGCTTGATTTTGACCGAGTTCGAGCCGAGCTTTGACGGAGCGAGGTGCTGATTTACACCCCTACTTGAAAATGTTGAAAAATGAAAATGATATGTGTGCTTTTTCGCCGGGCCGTCTAATCGTTAGTCGTTACAAACTGTTTGAAATGAAACTTCTTTCCCATGTCGTCAAGTTTCCTTCAATTCTTGAAAACAGATGTCTCGCTCACATGAAGCCTCTTCTAACCCTCTCCGTTTCCTCATTCTCAAACCACTCCTCAGTGCTCGATACCCATCATTTTCTCCCACCTCAAACCGTCTCTAACGGGCTGCTTCTGTCGCTCTTACAACAATTCTCGAAAGACATTTTCTGGGTCACATCAATTCATGCACAGATTGTTGTAAATTCCTTATCCACTGACCAATTTCTAGCTACGATGCTTGTTAAGGCGTACGCTGAGTTGGGCTCCCTTGAAACTGCCCGCTATGTGTTCGATCAATTTACTAAGCCAGAAGTATTTCTCTGCAATGCCATGATGAATGGATTTCTGAAGTGGGGGCAATACTGTAAGGTGGTTGAGCTGTTTCGAATGATGGGTACGCTAGATTTAAGGATTGATGGTTGCACATGCACGTTCACGCTCAAGGCGTGCAGTGCCTTACCGGATTATGAGACTGGGATGGAAATTGTTAGGAGGGGTCTGGATTGTGGGATGCAAAATGATCGGTTTTTTGGAAGTTCTATGTTAAGTTTCTTGGTGAAATTTGACCACATTGATGATGCACAAAGATTGTTCGATAAGATGGGAAGTAAGGACGTTGTGTGCTGGAATTCAATGATGGGAGGATATGTGAGAACCAGTCAATTCAATAAGGTTTTTCGACTGTTTTTTGTTATGCGTAGGTGTAACATTAGACCTAGTACTGTCACTATGGTGAACTTGATTCAGGCGTGTGAGGGAATGGGGTGTATAAGGATTGGACAATGTGGTCATGGACTTGTTGTTGAGTTGGGAATGGGGAATGATGTCACTGTTCTAACCTCCTTGATTAATATGTATAATAAGATGGGTGACCTTGAAAGTTCTTCTCTTGTATTTAATAGGATGCCTACTAGAACTTTGGTATCCTGGAATGTGATGATTTCGGGATGTGTTCAGAATAACTTGGTTCATAAATCACTTGAATATTTTCATGAATTAGTATGTCATGGGATTGCTTTTGATTCCGGAACTCTTGTTAGCCTTCTTCAAGGTTGCTCACAAGTGGCTGATTTAGGAGGTGGAAAGATACTTCATGCTTGCATTTTAAGACGGAGCCTAGACTCGAATGATATTCTATCTACAGTACTTGTGGATTTATATGCAAAATGTGGAGAACTTGACAAGGCAAATTATGTTTTTACTCCTATGAAAGGCAAAAATGTTATTACATGGACTGCTTTGCTTGTTGGATTAGCTCAAAATGGAAAAGCTGAGGATGCCTTGAAACTATTCCATCAGATGCAGGAAGAGAAAGTTGTTGCTAATTCTGTTACTCTGGTTGCTTTAGTCTACTGTTGTGCCCATTTGGGGTCCTTGAAGAAAGGAAAAAGTGTTCATGCTAATCTACTTCGATTGGGGTTTTGTTTTGATGTTGTTAACATGACAGCCCTTATTGATATGTATGCCAAATGTGGTAAACTAAGTTTAGCAGAAAGGGTATTCAATACTGTGTCCAATTCTGGTGATGTTATTTTGTGGAACTCTATGATTACAGGCTATGGTGTTCATGGTTTTGGCCACCAAGCTTTAAGCATGTATGACCAAATGATGCGTCAGGGAGTCGCTCCAAATCAAACTACATTTGTTGCTCTTCTAGCTGCTTGCAGTCATTCTGGGCTTGTAGAAGAGGGTATTGATTTGTTTGAGAAGATGAAAAGAGAACATAATATGAAGCCATCTGAAAAGCATTATGCTTGTTTTGTCGATCTTCTTAGTCGGGCTGGGCGTCTTAAAGATGCAGAAGCATTTATTAGAAAAATGCCTTCTGAGCCAGGTACTGCTGTTCTTGAAGCTTTACTCAATGGGTGTCGTTACCACAAGAACATTGATATCGGCTTGAGAACTGCTGATAAATTGCTTCACCTAGATTCCACAAACCCTGGTATATATGTTTTGTTATCAAATATATATGCTGAAGTAAGGAGATGGGATATAGTAGATTATATTCGGAGCATGATGAGGTTTCGCAGATTAAAAAAAATTCCAGGATACAGTTCAATTGAAATACATAACCGGGTCCACACTTTCTTTGCAGGGGATGATTCACATCCAAACTGGCAAGAAATTCATAAGTTCTTAGAAGCTTTAAAATCCGAGATTGAAGCTTGTGGATATGTACCTGATACAAGCTGTGTTCTCCGTGATGTTGATGAAAAGATGAAAGTGAAATTACTATGGGGACATAGTGAGAGATCGGCAATTGCATTTGGACTATTAAGCACACCAGCAGGAAGTGTGATTCGCTTGACGAAAAATCTTCGGGTCTGTAATGACTGCCATATGGTTACCAAATACATATCACAAATAGTGCAGCGAGAGATTATTGTGAGAGATGTCAATCGGTTCCACCACTTTAGGAATGGGAAATGCTCTTGTGGTGATTATTGGTGATAAGGGCTCTGAAATCTAGCTTGGAGTTTGAACTGTTGTGCCAACATGGTGTTACTGTAACTCTTGGTTTCAAAAGTTACATTTCATGAAAAGGCATTTGCTTTGCAGATTGATGTCAATACTGATGGTTTCATAGATTTCCCCGAGTTTGTTGCTGCCACTTTACATGTTCATCAGATGGAGGAACACAACTCAGAAAAACAGCTGCAAAGATCACAAGCTGCTTTTCAGAAATTTGATGTTGATAGAGTCATAGAGATGGATTTATTACTCCCGAAGAACTTAAAATGGTCAGCATTTTATTCTTGACTGGTTAATAAGTGCATATGCTTGCTCCTCTACTTTGCAAGATTTAGAGCATACCACCCCCCACCCCACGGAAAAAAGGAAATTTCCTAGCCTTCATTGTTTTTGCCTAAAGGTTCTAAAACAATGCAGCTTTTAATATTCAGGAACCACATACAGAGGATAAATAAATTAAAGTGTAGTTCGGTTTTAAATAGCAGTTTAGGATCTACGTTCATTTCCATATTTTTTGTTTATATATTTCACGTGTCAATCTCGATTAAAAGAAAAATGAAAAGATGCTTACTTGGCACACTTTTAGAAACTTTAAGATGAGATGCACTCTCTCTGAGTTCAAAACAGGGAATAGTAATGTAGGTGAACAATCCATGACATGCTTTTGGATGTCTGTTTAATTACAATAATAATGTGTTGCAGCATACGGGCTTAAAAGGCTCCATAGACCCACTTCTAGAGGAAGTAGACATCGACAAAGATGGGAAAATAAGCTTATCAGAATTCCGCAGTCTTTTAAGAACTGCAAGTATGAGTTCACCGACAATTACTAGACCCTCCGAGAAGGCAGGAGGTTCAAGAGTGAAAGAGTTTTTATGGAGATGTGCGTTAGAGCAGCAAAGTTTCCTTTCTCCTAGATTTCTGCCCGGGGTCATCGTATGCAGACAATGCAGTTGCTGTTTCTGCTCATCTGCAAGCTAAGAGTAGCCGAGGGATGCATTGCCCATCTTGCTTCTTCCCTCCACAAAAGCATTTGACAAGGAGTTTCCATCTGCCTACAAAGGGATGGATGGCATTCCTAATTTGGTATAGCTATTTAGTGTTGTGAGTCTCATTTGCAAAGTGAAATATGCAATTGTGCAATGTATGTGTGGAGAAAATGCTTAGTGTTGACTTATCAAGTGTTTGATGAATGTGGTAGTGGCTTGTTGGTTCAATAAAACGCCGGCGGAAAATATTTCTTTCGAAATTGGCCCATATAGGTCTCGAACCTGCAACCTTCGCGTTATTAGCACAACGCTCTAACCAACTGAGCTAATAGGCCAATTGATATATGATTGTAAAAATAGATATTTGGAGGCTGATGCTAAGTTAGTGAAAATTTTCTTTTGTCAATATGGAAGCAAACTATCCATTAAATCACGGATGCACGTTGTGACCTTTCTCATTTTATGATATAATCATATAAAATATTATTATATTATTATTATATATATAATAAAGCTTAAAGAACTAGTAATATCTACAATTTTGTTATTACTCATCTTTATTAGATTTAGATTTATACCCATTTTACAATTAAACTCTTGAGATGGTCTCACAAGAGAATAAGTTTGCCAGTGAATTATAAATTTTATGTTAAGTCTTTTTTTTTTCTTTTTTTCTGAGCTAATTCCATTTTTGGTCCTAGATTTATAGGTGACAATCCATTTTTAATTAGTCCGTTTTGGTCCTAGTATTATTGTGACATGACCATTTTTAGTCCTCCATCAACAAAATCGTTGAAATATCGTTAAATACAAAGTCAATCCAATTTTATTTTATTTTTGAAAACATCCATAATTGATGGATTGAAATGTCATTGTATTTAATGATGTTTAAACTGTTTTGTTAATAAAGGATCAAAAATTGTCATGTCACAATAGTACTATGACAAAAAATGAATATTTTAATAAAAATAGACGTAAAGTGGACTACCACTTATAAATCTAAGACCAAAAATTGAATTAATTGTTTTTTTTTCTTGACCTTTCAATGTACCAAAAGATATTTGTTCAAAAATTGCACGCTATAGTAAATAATGTGATGTACTTAGCTTAGAGGAGATAAAAACAAGAGTTAATTATCAAAATGGTCTCTTGACTATAGTGAAATTACCAATTTGGTCCTTGATTATTTTTTTAACCAATTAAGTCCCTCAATTTTAAAAATTTTAACCAATTTGGTCCTCCGTTAGTTTGACCGTTAGTCAACGGTTAACTTGGGACCAAATTGGTAATTTCTCTATAGTCAAGGGGCCATTTTGGTAATTAACTTTAGGGGTGGGCAATTCGGTTTAGTTTTCTCGAATCGAACCGTACCGAACCGAACCGAAGTAATATACCGAACAACCGAACGATATTGAATTCTTGTATACCGAACGGTTCGATAAAAAATCCGATCCAATCTGAATTGTTCGGTAAAAAATTGAACTGAATCGAATACAGTTTGATTTTTTTAAAAAATATAATAATAATAATAATAATAATAATAATAATAATAATAATAATAATAATAATAATAATAATAATAATAATAATAAATAAATAAATAAATAAATAAATAAATAAATAAATAAAGTAAATCCAAGTCCCTTACTGCTTGCTCTGTCGTTCAGCTCATATTTTCACGGGTATCTCTCGTAAATGTTTTATTTGATTTCTTTATGATTTGTTATCAAAAGTTCTATATTATGTGTTATGATGTTTACATAGTCCATATCCAAAGTCTAATATAAGAATTCAATATCGTTCGGTTGTTTGGTATATTACTTCGGTACGATTCGATTCGAGAAAACTAAATCGAATTATCCACCCCTAAAGTTAATTACCAAAATGGTCCCTTGACTATAGCAAAATTATCAATTTGGTCCCAAGTTAACCGTTGACTAACGGTCAAACTAAGGAAGGACCAAATTGGTTAAATTTTTTAAAGTTGAGAAACTTAATTGGTTAAAAAAAAATAGTCAAGGATCAAATTGGTAATTTCACTATAGTCAATGAACCATTTTGATAATTAACTCTAAAAACAATTATTGAATAACTTTCCAACTGAAAGATGAGATCTTAATGGTAAACGAATAAGATTCTGGTTTTGAACGGAATAATTTAGCGAAACTTGTATTTTTTTTTTAAATTATTATTCGTTACGTAATTAGATGATGTCTTTTAATTCGATCAGATAAATGTGATTTTTTACTTGTGTAATACGTTATTAATTTAATCTCTTCTATTATTAAGTGAATAATAATAAATACCGTTTCATTCCAGTATTATATGGAGTTGGATTTGTAAATTTTCTGGCAAGACTTCAACTGGCAAATTATGCCCTGGACCCGTGTCCACAATGAATTGTGGACACGGGCCCAAAACGACGTCGTTTTCTAAAAAAAACGCGTCATTTAGTTAAAAAAAAAAATCGCGCGTGTTTTGCCGTTAACGGCGTTAACGGTGTTAATTTTTTTTGGATTATGAATGTACAGTTATGCCGTTATGAATGTACAGTTATGCCGTTATGAATGTACAGTTATGCAATTATGAAATTATGAACACAAAGTTCTAACATTATGAACTTACAATTATGAACATTTATAGTGATAAAATTATGACCATGGAGCTTTAAAATTGTGAATATAGAGCTTCGAAGATTATGAATGTACAGTTATGGAGTTATGAATGTACAGTTATAGAGTTATGAATGTACAGTTATAGAGTTATGAATGTACAGTTATTGATCGAATTATGAACAAATAGCTTTGACATTATGAACTTACAATTATGAACATATAGTGATAAAATTATGAACATAGAGCTCTAAAATTGTGAACATAGAGCTTCGAAAATTATGAATGTACAATTATGGAGTTATGAATGTACAGTTATGGAGTTATGAATGTACAGTTATAGAGTTATGAATGTACAGTTATGGAGTTATGAATGTATAATTATTAACATATAGTAATAAAATTATGAACATATATTCCTATAACGAAACAGTCTGAAATTAAAATTTAAAAAATAAAAAAAAAAAAATAACAGTGCCGTTAAGCACTGTTACCCGTGTCCAGCTTGCAAGCTGGACACGGGTCCAGTGCATAACGATTGACTTCAACTTCTTTAGTCACTCCCGTTTGGTTCATTTGAATTAAAATTATTTAGAGTTTCAATTCCTTCAAATGTGAATTCTCAATTTTGATGGGGTTTCAATTCATTAAATTTAGGGTATGAGAAAATGATATGAATAAATAGAGTTTTTGTTTTTCACTTTTAGTCCTACGACTATATATAGGACTATTTTAACATTTAATCTACAATTATTAATTTTTATATATTTTGTTTTACTACTTTTAAAATTTTACCACATTTGGTTCTTCAACCTAATTTTTCATCATCAGTGACAAAATTTGTATCTCTATGTTAATGAACATGGCTGTATAATAGTCAAGTGACTTATCTTGAAGGATAAAGTTGTCATTTTCTATAACATTTGTTTATATATATATAACTAAAATGATGGCTATTGGTGATCGGATATTAAGTTAATTAATATAAAACATGTGTATGTGTCTTGCGTTATGTGTTTATGTGTATCATGATATGCAATTCTATATCTTAAGCGTATGAATTCTGTACATGAAATAGATTAGTAGTTGTATAACACAAAACATATTATGTGTTTTATTTTACGAATTTATGTCTTAGCTTGTATTATGAAACTATGTGTCTATAGACTATAGGACATAAATTATCTACATAAATCAAATTTGAGAATAATTATAATATAAAATATGTATATGTGTCTTGTGTTATGCGTTTCTGTTATAATATAAAATTTGTGTTGAAACCAGAGAAGCGAGAAATTACAAAATCGGTTAAGTCTTAAATATCAAAACAACGTTGTTTTGATTCATGGTCTACAATGCTATGTGGATCCTGGTACTAGTTATCGATATGCTACTTGGGTACTGGATATTTTGTTTGAACCCCATGATACCAAGTTCCAAATTGGTGCTTTCAAAAAAAATCTCAAATTGATTATGCTATGTTTTCACATACCCCAAATGTTTTATATAAAAACAATAAAGCTTATGTTACACATATATACAGATATATCTACACACACACACACACACACATATATATATATATATATATATATATATATATATCAAGGATAAGCATCCACAAGACCACGACCTCACCTCTTCACATCTATTCTCTGAAAAGTCCTCTCTATTCTTATCCTAAAGATGGTGAATTGAGCTTCCTATCAAATTCAGGTATAATTTTGTCACCCCAGAGTTGAATGGGCAAAATTGTCATTAGACAAGATAGATGAATACATTTAAAGGCATTGCTTAAAAAAAAAAAAAAAAAACTAAATGACTAGCTAAGTAAAGACACAATTTCCGGGGAGGGGGGAGAGACCATGGAAAAGGAAGAAAAATGATTTCCGCTGCCAGGATTCAAACCCAAATTCAATTGAAGAGTTTGAGAATTAACCAGTGCTACAACGAAACTAGATGTTAAATTTTTACGATTTTTTTTTTTTTTGAAACAAATTACGATTTTATTTCTGTAATGTATTTTAGCGTTTCTTATAAATACATTGACAAAACCCCCCAGAGTAGGATACACTGCCATTTTATCAAAACACAACCATTATTTTATATAGGAGTTAATTCCAAAAATAGTCCTCCGACTATGGTCTTTTTTCAAATTGGTTCATTGACTTTTAATTCACCTAAAGTGGTCCTACGACTATTAAATTTTAAGTCAAAATGGTCATTCGTTAGATTTGGTGTTAAAATGAAGAGTAAAAATAATTTATTTTTTTATTACTATTTGTTGTTTAGAGCATTGACCTGCCAATTACTTCCCCAAATTAGTCAAAAAAAATTTCCCAAGGGAAAATCGCAATTTGGGGAAGAAGGGGAAAATCGCAATTAGCTAGGTTTATATTCTTTAATTTGGGGAAAATCCTTTCACTAATTTGGGGAAGAAATCAGGTCAAAGCTCAAAACAACACACAATTATAAAATATCTTTTTTACCCTTCATTTTAATACCCACTTAACACCAAATCTAATGGATGATCATTTTGACTTAAAATTTAATAGTCATAGAACCATTTTTTGTGCAATTAAAAGTC